CTATGATTGTCGATTGCCTGATTATAATAATTGTATTTATTCATTATTGTTATTTCTATAATAAAATGTCAATAATCATATTCCTATTCCTATTATAAAGGTTCATAATTCGCGCATAATCTATTCTCAGAAGCGTTAGTCGCAGTGTCGTCGCCGATTACCGGCGACCGTACGAGACAGTTACTTTTTGGCGTAGTGGGGGAATTTGCGACCGCCGTCACAACGGCATGTAGGTGGCAGCACATTATGACAATGAAATATCAAATCTAATGACGTAAACATGCTGTCGAAAAACAAACGAAAAGCAATTAAAAAGTGGTTTTAGAGTAAAATTACCTATAATAAATTTTATAGCGAACRATATTTCGGAGGGAACCTCATCGGCGTTTTGTATTAATACAAATACAAAGCTCGATATTGAAGGCACAAAAACCTTTTTTTTTACATTTTTTAAATAACTGTAACTTTTTTACTACCTAATATTTCGAAAAACACCGATGAGGTTCCCTCCTAAATATTGTTCTCTATAAATTTCATAATAAGTATTTTTACTCTAAAAACAATTTTTAATGCCGTTTCGTTTGTTTTTCGTAGACGTGTTTTTACCGCTGAAAATGACCAGTGTGACATCCTCTTAAGGCACGGTCTCGTCCAATTCGTCGATGCACGGCACAGGTACTGCCCATAGTCGTCTATGATTGGGTGTTGCGGGCGGACTATCACGACGTTGCAGACGCTGTTTGGTGCCGTCAGATATTATCAATGTTAGTTTCTACACCCTAGCTGTTATCGACTTATCTTTGTGATTACGCATCGGTGGGGTAGTGCGGTATAATTTTAGGGTCTGTCTCTTAGACCATATACTATAATGATAGTATGATACTATTTTATTAAATATATATATTGTGATCTAAGCCCTAAGGTCTGTTTATACCACCGATATAATATACTAATTAGTATATATCTGTGGTTTATACGCAGTCGATTAGGCTACCACCACGGCTTTAGATAGAATGGTTGCACATTGGACTATAATACGTAATGTTAGACCGCGGTGTAAGAGAGTTCATATCTAACATTCGAAAAAGTGAACTACTATTAACGCTCTTGGGGGTTGTTAATTGGAATTACAATATTATAATGTGCCCATATCCTGCCATAATATTAAATTATTTTTGAATGTTCAAATGTCCAATTATAAATATAATTGAGTTAATAGCTTAAGTATAATCACGATTCACTTCTCTCGTGCTCTATCTACATAATWATTATATGATTATGTTATGTCATACACTACTATTTAAACGAAACTCATCACTATTCACTCTAGTCTGTGTTTTGATTATTGGTTTTGTGAATTTTGATTTTGGAAAAAAAATAGAAAAATATTCTATTTTTTAGTCTTGAATTTTTATTATATTGATAATATGTTGTCCTTTTTGCTTGTTAGATAATTAAAACCATACCAGTAAAATCCCAAAAAAGTGAATTAGAGTTTATATATTATATTTAGAATGAAATTTAATAATTTTTACAGTAGGCATTTTCAACTATTTACTACGTTCTTAACCATAACCTGATGTTACTCCATCAATAACTAGAGTTTTAGGCAATATATAGTAAATTACACGTTACCATGTAACATTAAGATATAAATTCAAAATTGTATTGTTAAAAAATGTAGGCAACCAGACCCAAGATGTTCTCAATATTTATTTACATTTTTATTTGTATGTAGGTATGCAGATGAAGTAATGTCAGTTGTATTATAAAAATTAAAAAATTTAATATAGGTGTCTTAACAATATAGAAAACAGATTTTTAAGCTCTACTATTAACCATTTATCTTACCCCTAAATACTCAAATAATAGACACTTAAATCTCTATTTAAGTAAACTTATAACTGTAACAGTTAACTCTTTAGTTAAAACACTTTAAAAAATTTTTAACGTTTTTAAAACTATTTTTGATTAACTAAGTTGATTTAATAATCATTCTGTATCTAATCTGTATACCTGTGTACCAAAAAACAAAATATTATTTATATATATATATAAGATAACTTGATATGAATGGGTTGTTCCACTTAAATTGTTATTTGTACCAATAGGTATGACATACATATTTTATGAAACTCTTATAGTTTTCGATTAAATAATTTTTTCATTTTTATTTTGAATAATCTCATAATAATAATAATGATAATTTATATATGTATATTGAATATAATGTATAATAT